GAGACACTGCAATCGACTCGCGCGCGCCCTTCAGGCACCCGAAACACAGACACAGTAGCACAGGCTCAAGATACTGTAAATGCATCAATTATTCACTGGATTTAAATTTCGCTATTTTTGCTTATAAGTAAAATCCGCTAAATTAAACATGTAAAATAACAATAAAATTCATTGTTTTCTTGACAAAATCGTGAAATTAAAACACTATGAATATGCTCAAAATAGTGAATTAAAATGTCAGTGAAAATAAATGGTTTTACAGTACTTGAACCAGGTCTAGATAAAAAATACGTGCATCGAAGTAACAAACACGTGCCATGTGACGTCATCGACCTTAAAGAGAGTCGTGTTCGACAAACTACAGACATACAGATGGTCTCTCGTTGGTGTCCCTTTTATAGTTGCTGATTTACATCGAATCTTGCTTGTTTCCCAGCATAAAATGGTTTTCATGAAAAGGACAATGTTACCCCTCCCCCTCTCTCGTAAAATCATGACACCGACTGTAGTAACTGTCAACCTGTAGCCACGCTATTGGGGCTAAGTGACGCCATCAAGCCATATAACTGAACGGCATTCGCACGATGCTATCAAATGCAACTAATACATTCTGTATCGGCTTGTCAATGATATGTTTACGTAAAACACCCCACAATTGAAGACGATGACAGTTAGTTGACAATGATATATATAAATATATGATATGTGTCTGTTTGTGAAGAATTTTCAAAGATGCCGGGAACAAGGTGACACTGCGATTTCGTCAGTCTGACTCACTTCGTTGTTTAGTGCAGCGAACTCGGCATACATACTTTATTGGCGAAATGCCGGAAGAATTATTTTTAATGATGCAGGCTGTCATGGCAAGTATTCGAAATGCCCACGTGCACGTGTTCCCATTCATCATACATACGCACCGTGTGTGAAGAAATGTACATCTATCGGGACACATGAGGTGGGTGGGCCAACCCAAACACTGCCGTAACGACCACAATAAAAATATAATGTTTCTACGAATTAATGGGGGATGTGTAGGAATACTATGAAGCCAACGATTCGTATCACATTATAACATTGAGGTCATGAGGGCGGAAGATTTGTTAAAAAAAAATTACAAGCTGACACCGAGACTGAAAATAAATGCATGCAGTGTTGCAGAAAATAAAAAAAAATAAAAAAATGCATTGCTCATATTGCATGGTCTGTTCTAGTTCCAGATGAGATCAAATGGTTGACCCCTAAGTTTCTTACAATTAAACAACCACCGTGACGGCGCTGATTTGTATGTATACCTAAGTAATGATTGTTTTGTAATACACTGCGCCCTCAACGCTGACGCAGTACGAGTTGTCATCGAATCAAGCCAGGTGACACATTTTGTAAAGCGACAATTTGCACAGTTTCGTTTGTGGTAATGTGCGTTCTTTCAGTCTTGTTTAGTCTGCAAAATACTTTGTCCTATCAAATTTCTAAATAGACATCTCAAGATAGACATATTTATTAACGGTTTCAGTAAACCCGCTTACGTCATAGCAATGAACATAGAAAGTTCTGAAAAGTAATGGTACTGAATTCCTCTGGAATTAATAGGAGGCTGACTTATTACGCTTTGCCAGAGTTCAACACCCGACACAAAGGGCAGTAACAGTAACTTCGGTTCAGTTGTCTGCAATGAAAAGTCGAACAGCGAGTGTCCGAATATCATGCAAACAATCTAATGTACATGTACTAATACCCTTATCGAAGATGACGCGGTGAGACGACCCACCGCCTTTTAACATATCAAAAATAACGTTTCCTCCTTGTTCAAATCGAACGTCTTCATGACATGACGTAATGTTTATTGACGTCACAAAACGCGGGTTTCTGCATCACGTGATATATTCGTCCGAGTATGTAATCAAATCGAGGACGTATCCGCCATATTATACGTCCACGTTCATGCCGACTGATTACATTTGCAACTGCATCCGGGTCACGAGAGAGCCTTGCTTTCGCTCTTCGATTAGTGTTTTATTTGTCCTGTCACACTGTTCACTGTTCTCCTGGTGTATTATGACTGTAGTATTCGGAACAGTGTCGTTATAACGGAAGAACTCTATTTAAGAAGAAGATGCAAACGAATTTCGTGGCTCCCTCCCTTTCAACGAGATCTCGCGGCCATTTTTGGCCACCGAGTTTGTGTACATTGATGTTCGTTTGTTTATTGTACTACATATTCATGCATTCTAAAACATGCATGACTACTTGGTGGAATTCAGGATTGCTCGAGCCCTAAATGGTATCGATAATGAAGTTGTATACAGTTTGGATGGCAGTTCACAAGCAGAATTTATTCACAAAACAACATGGAAGAAAATAAACTACACTCATATAATGTCGAGGATTAACTATGCATGCATAAATTATACAACTCGTATAGTATCGTTTGTCTTTCTCGCGCAGTTTTGACTTGTGTGCATAAAAATACGCGCTTTTCCCGCGTTTATTCGTATTAGGTATTACAAGGTGTCCAGGGTATCCATGAACAAGATATAGCGTAAATATAGGTAGTATAAACTTTGAAAAGTAATAAGGTATATTAATGACTTGTTATAAAGAACAAAAGTTCAAATCGTGGAAATATTGTCGTTTAACCTAACTTAAGGCCAGACTTGTTTTATTCCTTGTTTCTCGAGTTTTTATAAGGCAA